GGGCGGAATCCCTGAAGAGAGCCAGCCACAGAGTCGTGGTGTCAAAATGGAGACGGCAGCAGCCATGGGTACTAGAGAGATGGAAAGGGTTGCTCCAGGGTTCTGGCCTCCAGCCGCTACTCACTCCCATGACCCAGGCCCTCACCTCGGTCCTGGGGGTCCTTCCAGCCCAGCACCCAGCAGCTGGCCCCCGGGGGGATACCCCCTGGGTGAAGGCAGACAGGCAGGGATGAAGGAGACGGTTCTACACGGGAGCTCAGCTCCAGGAGAGCCAAGGGGGGCCCATGTCCCAGGTGCCGTGGCAAGCGGATGCTGTTGACCAACCGGGACACCTGGTGGCTCTGTGGGAGGGGGTTGGCCCCCGCCCGGCCCAGATAGACTTCAATGTAAGGCACCGTTGTAGAGCCCAACCTGTTAGAACAAGGTCCAGTGTCACTCCCTGCTCTTCATTGCTCATAAAGTCCTCTCCAGCCCAGGCAGAGAGTGGGATGATCTCTAGGCCCCTGCCACTAACTCCTCCATTATTCTTCCTTCCAAATCTCTCGTTTCAAAACACCTCACAGCAGTTTCCCGCACTGGAAGAGCCCTAAATGGAGAACATCCCCATTTGGCCTATCTCCCAGTTTCCCCCTCCATTTTCTTGCCTTAGAGATGAGTGAGACGCACCTGAGGACACAGTGAGTGGCTGCCAGGACCCATCCTGGGGCCACGAGGATCCCAGTGCAGACATGATCACCAGCCACATGCACCTCTGCCAGCCAAGGCCACAAGTGCTCCATCTGAGCAGCCTTTTGCCGTAGGCCGCAGGCTAGGGAGAGGAGGCAGCCCCTCAGTGGGGTGTGCACATCTGAGCCCTGAAGCTCCTGCTATGGATCTAAGCAACCCAGGGACCCTAGGCCCCAAAGCCCCCACTGGCTCACCCCCATGCTCTGTGTGTGGGGGACAAGTCTGTATCTCAGTCTCCCCCCCTTCAAGGCCCCAGTCCCAGACCAGCTGGTCCTCCAGGTAGGCTCCCCGAGTCACATGGCTGATCCATGGGCCATGGGTCTGCAGTGGGGAGAAGGCTCGGGGGCGTAGACAGCCACTGGAGAAGTCCCTGATTCCAGCCAGGAACCAGGTCCCCTCCTCCCTGCACAAAAGGCTCCAACGAGAGTCATTCTGCAACAAAAAAGCATGTGTTACTGCACAGAGAGAGAATAGCAGAGGGCTCCCGGCTTTCCTTGGACTCAGGATTCTCCCTTATGTGGGCATAACAAGTCTTTCCTCCTCCTCCCTGCTAAGCTCTAATACTAATTTCTTTTTCAAACAGCCAGGCAAGGGTTTTGAACCCCCTACTACGGGGTTTAACCGCTTGTGTAAGAATTCAGCCCTCACTTTAGGATTTTCTGGTAAACCTACCAATAGATAGGAACTTTAACACCCTATCAAGGTCCACTTTGGTCTCCTCCAGGACCAGGCTCCGCCCCCAGCTTGTTCTGGCCCCGCTCCGGCTAGGCAGCCAGAGCGTCGGGTTCCCAGTCCCCTCGGTCACTCCAGGGTCCTCTGCAGGCCCCGCCCCGGCGCTCACCCAGCAGCGGCCCGCCTCTTCTTCC